AGATGTGTTCGTTCGTGTTCAGCTCGTTTTGGCTCGAAATACTACTCATCAAGTTTATATATATATGAAGTAGTATTTTAAAAAAATCTAATTGACTAAAAGGCTACAAAGATTTATAATCAATTAAAATATTGATTAAGAAAATAGAATAAAAATTATTAAATTTGATTCAAGTTATGTTTTAATATAAAAATAATTTTTAAATATTGTTCAAATCCTTGTTGTCTTATGGTTACATGATTAAGATTGTTAAAATGACTCTTTGTTCGTGAACTTGTTCGTGAACAGCTCGTGTTCGGCTCGTTAATCATACGAGCAGAACACGAATAAGCATACGAGCCGAACACGAACATACTTTTTGAGCTCGAAATATAAACGAGCCGAACACGAGCTGAGGATGACTCGCTAGTGTTCGGCTCGTTTACACCCCTACTTGTATTTAAGAAGGGGGGAGATTTACGAACCACTCAATTCCTATGTATTTACATATCCAACACTTAAATTATACCTTACACATCAATAACACATCTTTCATGTATCATAAAAATATCATCATTTAAGCTAAAAGACAAATGAAATGAATCTCTTATGCTAAAAATTGAAGCTTAGGTGTTAGATATGTGAACACATAAGAATTGAGTGATATGTACGTAATCTTTCTTTTTTTAAAAAAAAAAGTGATTTTTTGATGTGATATGAAAGATTCGAGTGGTATAAATGTAAAAATAGAAATGGTTGTTAGATATGTAAATATATAGAAAAAGATGTTATGTATGTAAATGGCCCTTCATAAAAATAACGCAAGATTTTTTAACGCAGGATTTTTAAAATAGCATTTTTTTTAAATTTATTATTTTAAATCAATTAAGATTTTAAGTAGACTAAATCACCACATCACGTGGCCTTTGTGGTTCCTCATTGGCAAAATCATGTGTGTGTGTGATCATTTCATTTTATTAAATAAAAAAATCGAAGCTTGTTCGATTCGAAGCCCTTCAATGCCCAAAATTGTCCTTTACCTTCGAGAGCTAGCTCCCCATGTTTCTCTGTTGAAACATCGTCGTAGAAGCAACCAACGCAAAGGACCTCAGTCAAATCACCGACAACAAAGCTATTCAAAGCCCTTTCATGATGTAGCACATTATCTAAATGAAACCATATGCCCACTTATAAGAGCCCATCCAAACGCTCAGGAAAGTGCCTAATAAAGAGTTGACTGAAGACCCATCACAAGAGTCCTATCAAGAAGAAATATTTAAAGTTGAGTTTTGTTGTTAATACTTTCAATTTTTAGAATGTTTGAATTTTTAAACTTGAAGGCCTTTATGGCTGGTCATAAAAAATAATAAATTAGGAAGGTGGTTAGCACCTTACTCTATTAATGGCCACCCACCACTCCTCAAAATTCCCTCCTCATTTTATTAACTTTTTATCTTTATATTTCTTATAATATGACTGATATGTAATGCTTTTAATCAGTTGTTGAACAAAATATTTGAGTGAGAACTTTCTGTCTCATTGATTGGTACTTCGTGGCTTCAAGTGTTGTCCTTCTTTAGTGAGATTAGGTTTGTTTCTTGCATTATTTTTTAAGTTATTCATTAATCCTCCATAACACTTGCTCTATACTTTTTTACCACTCTTTTATCTACATTCTAAGGTTCTTATAAAATCAAAAAAAAAAAAAAAAAAAAAAAAAAGAATAAGCAAAGATTCACAATCATTCAAAACCCCTATTTATAGCTCTTGGCCAAGAAAGAGCATATTGAGGCCTAGTCTTACTCCCAAATACTTAACACTATTGTAAACCAATCCAAAACAACCTATCTACTCCAAAACATAAGTACACATGATAAAATAACCACCAATAAACATTTCTAGTCATTTATTCAATCTTTAGTTACTTTTCCAAAGAAATATTTCAAATCAGCCCAAATTAGTCTAATCTAGACTAGTTTTTGGTATTTTAGCCATCATTTTCTCCTAAATATTTTAACATTCCAATAAACCTTCACATAACATCTTTAGGCCTAACCCCAAACATTAAAAACAAATTTTAGTTCTTTATCTCATCAAAAGGGCAACCACTTCTGACATATTTGGTATCATAGTGAACTTGGGAAGAAGCTGATTTGGTTAGAGCTATCAGACATCTAAGAAGAAATTCTTGTAGTGGACTTCTCTCTACAAGCTTTTGAGTTACTTCACAAAGTTTGAGGTTAGTGAATTTCTTCTAATAATAGTTTTTTTTTCTTTTAATAGTTCGAATATCTAATATATTACTTGTAAGATTATGATGTAAGCCTAAAGTTTAATTAGCGAGCTCCACTATAAAGATTGATTGATATCTCTTGTGTGAACGCATCTCTAAACTTTGTCTTGAGTGGAAACTTTGTTAAGTGAGCACTCTACGTAAATAAAATACAACCTTACCATGCTGCGATAATTATTAAGCTTTTTTGCTTTTTTTTTTGTTAACTTTTATGTTAACTTGCTTTTTTTTTATGTTAACTTTTTATGGTAAACTAGTTGCTCATTATGTCAAAACCTGAAGAACTTTACCATTTTAAGGACTTGATATTTGTAGATTTAGGTGAATTGTACTTACAATTATATGCATAAGAGTATATGTGTATAAAAGTTATGTATTTAAGGCGAAAAAAAACTTTGTCAAAAAGTCTTAAACTAGTTAAGGAGAGCTTGAGACTTCAGTAATGTTTGTATCCCCCCCCCCGTCATCACATGGAAGTTCCTATTGCTGAAGATTAACTTTTTTTTGCATTTATATTTTATTCTCCCTCTCTCTCTCTTTCTCTCACATATAGCATTTTCTCTCTCATCTCTCTTAAAAAAAAAGCATCATGGCACCAAAATCAAATTTTCAACATCAAATTAAAAATTTAACAGAAATTATTGACTCTTTAGATCTTATGATTCATGAAATTGATACTAAGAATAAAAAATAATTTAGCATATTAAAAATTAAATGCAAGATTTAAAAACCTAAGTATAAAGAATCATAAATCTTTTTCAAAATAATAAATCCCCAACCACACCTCTTACGCAAACTCACCATTGAAAGAAAACAATTTACACATAGAGCCTAGAGAAGAACAAATTCATAGAAGATAACCAAATTTTATGAATCAAGGTAGAAGGGACTATCCATATTGAAATAGTAATGATTTTAACGACTTCTCTAAAACGGTTAAAATTGAAGCTCCATCTTATGATGGACACAAATAAGTTCTTAGATTGGTTAGTCTAAGTATATGTTCATTGTTTCCATAAGATGAATGCATCAAAGAGTTGCATTTGTCAAAATGAAATTGACTGGTCATGTTAAAATTTATTGGAATAACATATTAGCTAAAGAATAAAGATTAGGAAGGAACACTCTCACTTGGATTGAAATGAAGGAGGTATTAAGAATTAAATATTTTTTTACATAATGATAAAAAATTACATGAGAAATTATTGACATTAAGTTATGTGAGTCTTTCCATAATTGAAAACTTGAATATTTTTGAAAACTTAATTGACAGGACAAATTTTATTGACAATAATTTTGCAATAAGCCAATAAATTTGTCATTGGCCTTAAGGGGGACATTAAGAATGAAGTGGATTTATTTGATCTCCAAACCTTAGAGGAGGCCTTCCATTATGCCTTGTTACTAGAAAATTAAAGGAAATCTACCTCTCTTTCAAAATTATAAGGATAACCACCCTCCAGTGCAGCACATACACTGGTTCTTAGAACCACTCAATATACTTGTTAAACCCAACATCCCAAAGATCCTATTGATGGGAGTTTAAGAATAATAAATATATCATGTTTTTAAAATGCAGCAAAAAGTATCATATGAAAAACCAATGTAAAACCCAAATTCTTTTCTTGGAAGAAATTGAAAATCTTACAGATGATGACATGGACGAAGCGCAAAAAGTATCATATGAAAAACTAATGTAAAGCTCAAATTCTTTGCTTGGATGAAATTGAAAATCTTATAGATGATGACATGGAAGAAGCATATGATGACACATCTTTCTGTTGATGACCTAGAATTGTTTAATAACCATCCAATAAATGTAATGCAATGTTTAACTGTTACAAAAAAATGAAAATATGGATTTGAGAAGAAAGAATATTTTCAATATGCATGTTGTTTGTAATGAAAGAAGATGTAGGTTAGTTATTGATGGATGTCAGCACTATTTTAGGATGTGGAGTTGCCCATTGGAAGCTTTCAGCCATCAGAATCGAAATCTCGTCACCTGCTTCAGAAAGACGTTTTAATTTATATCCCGTTGGAAGCTGTCAGCCATCGGAATCAAAATCTCGTCGCCTGCTTCGGAAAGATGCTTTAATTTACATATATATACATATTTTAGAAAATTATGAAATCAAACTGACCCCATATTTTTCATAGTTTAAATGAAAGAGCACTATACCTCAAACCCTGTATCTATCCCGAAAAAAAAAATACAAAACTTGAGGATGAGACTCGATCAAATAAACTAATAAATATATGACATCTGTTTGATCTACGAAACCATTTTTATTTGCCAACAAGTTCCCCTATTTAATACGAAGAATTAAATAGGTTTATATTAAGC